AGGTGTCTTGACATGTTACAAATATTTTATTAAATTATGTTAAAACTGCTACACTGTCTTAGCCCGTGTTAAAATCACATGCTGTAGTTCTCTTTTCAAGGTAAAACCAGATAAAATCCTTTAAAGTTTCTATTATACCCACGTTATTTTGGTGCATTTTATTTCACCTCACACGGGGTGTCGTCCTTTGTTCATAAACGTATGTCTGTCCAGGGGGTTTTGTTTCGGCAGCTTGCCCCTCACGTTCGTAGCCTGCTTTTCAGTTATGACAGCCACGTGCCCCTGGTTTGCGTGTTTCCTCCACAGCGTGTGGTGTTGTCTTTACTAGTGCCTCACACCTGAAGATGGCCGTTTGGGGCCGAAATATGTAGTGTCAAAGTGTATAATGTTAAACTAAAATTAAAATTAAGTAGTGAATAAAAAGTGTTGCAATATTGATGGACGATAAATAATGGACTTTAAGCCTAACAATATTTACTTACTCATGGAGCTGAGCCCTTATTGAGGAGCCGCCAATTCTGCAGCTACTGAAGAACTTCCCAGCGTTTTGTGGAACCCGACGGTTCATTACCGTGTTCACAAAAGTCCTCCACTGGTCCCTATCCTCAGCCAGATCAATCCACTCCATACCATCCCATCCTACCTTTCTAAGATTCATTTTAATATTTTCCACCCACCTACGCCTTGANGCTTTTCAGTTATGACAGCCACGTGCCCCTGGTTTGCGTGTTTCCTCCACAGCGTGTGGTGTTGTCTTTACTAGTGCCTCACACCTGAAGATGGCCGTTTGGGGCCGAAATATGTAGTGTCAAAGTGTATAATGTTAAACTAAAATTAAAATTAAGTAGTGAATAAAAAGTGTTGCAATATTGATGGACGATAAATAATGGACTTTAAGCCTAACAATATTTACTTACTCATGGAGCTGAGCCCTTATTGAGGAGCCGCCAATTCTGCAGCTACTGAAGAACTTCCCAGCGTTTTGTGGAACCCGACGGTTCATTACCGTGTTCACAAAAGTCCTCCACTGGTCCCTATCCTCAGCCAGATCAATCCACTCCATACCATCCCATCCTACCTTTCTAAGATTCATTTTAATATTTTCCACCCACCTACGCCTTGATCTTCTCAGTGGTCACTTTTCTTCTGACTTTCCCACTAATATCCTATATGCATTCCTCTTCTCACCCATTCGTGCTACATGCCCTTCCCACCTCATCCTCCTTGACTTGACCATTCTAATTATAATTGGAGAAGAGTACAAGTTATGAAGCTCCTCATTACGCAGTTTTCTCCAATCTCCTGTCACTTCATCCCTCTTCGGTCAAAATATTCTCAACACCCTGTTCTCAAACACCCTCAGTCTATGTACCTCCCTTAATGTCAGAGACGAGTTTCACACCCCTAGATAACGGCAGGCGAAATTAGAATTTTGTATGTTCTAATTTTTACGTTTTTAGACAGTAGACGAGAAGACAAAGGGTTCTGGACTGAATGGTAGTAAGCATTACCCGAGTTCAATCTCCTCTTAATTTCCTCCTGAATCAGGTTTTGATTTTTTATTGTCGTTCCCAAATATTTGAACTGTGCCACATTTCAAAACTACTGTTAGCCATCTTTCTGTCGTGATTTTGTCCTGCATTCTGGTGACGAGACAGCAACATATACTTAGTTCCTTCTCTGTGTTTACTTCTAGACCAATCTCCTTACTTGCGTCAATTAAAGTTTGTGTGTTTTTCTTTATGGTATCTATATTATCACCCAATAGATTCATATCATCAGCATGGACCAACAGCTGATGTGTCCCGTTTAATTTCAGTCCCACCTCGTTTCCCTGGACATTCCTAATGGCATATTCTAAAGCAAACTTGAAAAGCAGTGGCGATAAAGCATCTCCTTGTTTTCTACCATTCTGGATAGGAAATTTATCAGACAAATGTTTACCTATACAGACTTTACTATACATTGTAATCAGCCTAACTAGTTTCATGGGTACCCAAAATTCTATCAGAATGCTGTACAATACTTCCCTGCTAACTGAATCATAAAGCCTAACAATATTATTGGCTTTTTCTCTTAAAAGATCGCAGTCGTAATATAGATTCTTTGTTCCTAGTTCTTCATTCAGTTTAATGCTCAGAGAGGGGTGTGCTGGAGGGAGCTTTTTAGGTGGGGGGTGGCGCAAGTCCCTTGTTCAATCGTTGGGGATTACCAAAGCCTTTTTTTTTAAAGTGATTTTTATAAAATTTAACAACAAAAGGTGAATATATTTACATTTCTAACCCCACTTTCTCTTCTCGAAACTACTGTTTTCAAATCAAAATATACCGCAATTCTGAAGAGCACTCTACCGGCTAACGCCATAGACTACAAATTTTACTCAACTTTCAGCAATGACCAGAAGCCACAGTTGTCAGTTCGCAATATTTGTGATGTAAGCAGTCGCCGTGACGCGTTCTCTGTTTAGACAGTTAATTACTGTAAAATTGGTTACTGACAACATTATTTTTAGGCCTTGTGAAAAAAAAAATGAAATGACAAAACATGTTATTGCTATTTCTTAAAACTAAATAATGCAAAACTGATAAATCTATCAGCAGAGGGCCGAGTGCTTGTTCATCAATAAAGACGAAGACAGAAGATGCTACCACTGCACAGACAGCTCATCAGAAAGCCCAGATTGTTGGTCTCAAAGGCAGGAGATTTTTTTAAATAGGAACATAAATGGTTAATTCTGAAAAATAAATATTTAATTTAAAATTTATGATTTGGATCCAGGTGAAATAAACATATTCATGGCTCTAGTGAACTAAAAAAATTCCCGCCTGGGGGCACAAAAAGAAATTTCACGAAAAGTCAGCAGGCATCTTCGGGGGGAATGAAAAAAACGTCCACTATCAAGTGCATATTTAAAAATTTAAAAGAATAAAAATAGGTCATTGTCTACAATTATTGAGAATATTAATATGAAAGATATGGACATCACTGTTCATATTTTGAATATAGTTCACAGTCTGGCAAAGCGAAATAGACATAGGTCTGATATCTATGCTGTCTTCGAACTGTAAAACAAAAGTTGAGCTGATATCGGCAATTGTTTTCATTTGTGATTTTCAGCAACTCGTATTGTTAAACGCATGTCTTCCCAAATAACAAGAAAATTATTCAGATAAATGATAAACGAAAGCGGCACGGTGTGCATTGTACAAGGGATATTCGGAAAGTAAAGATACAAGTCCAGTAAAAATGCAACGGAAATTCTTTTTTCAGAATGGTAGTGCTGCCGTGTGAGATGGGAACCGTACGACAGGGCAGAGTTCACCGGACACAGTCACGGCAAAGTTGTGTTCGCAGTTTGTGTTTAAATTGGCCGTGTCGATTCAAAATGCCGCCAAATGTGAGCTTCGTGCAGTAATTCGATTTCTTCACGCGAAAGGAGAAAGTGCCGCTGAAATTCATCGCCAATTTGTTTCTGTTTACGGCGAAGATCTTATGAACAGGCAAAACGTGGCAAAATGGTGTCATGAAATTGAAGCGGGAAGAATTGATGTTCATGATAAAAAAAACAAAGAATGGAAGGCCATCTGTTGTCACTGATAAAATTGATGAAAACATTCGTGCTGACAGATGTTTAACCACAGATGAAATTTTTCGGACGATGATGAGGTTCAAAACGCAGTGATGACATGGTTAAGAGGGCAGGCGGGAGATTTCTAAGACACTGGAATAAAAAGACTCGTTCCCAGGCTAAATGCATTGCAATCCGGGGTGACTATGTTGAAAAGTAAATAAAAGGTGTATTGTAAAAGTGCTGCAAGTGAATAAAAAAAAGCTTTACAAATATTTCCTTATACCACACATTGTAAGGCCATGGAACATCAAAGCATCATTTATTGGCCCATAAAAATGGATACAACTATCTGATAGACTAAACAGCAATATAACCATTGACGAAAGAACCCAGTGTTTACTGAATACTGAAACCCACCACTGGCAAGCAGTGCTTGAACATCTAGCGGCAACCATCCAGTCTCTTAGCCAACAATGTTTTGCATTTAGATGTTCAGTGACATACTCCATAACAAGAAAAATGAAACTTGCTTATAGTTAGTGGAATGTAGTACTAGACTGGAAAGTAGACTTGACTCAGTAAGGCCACTAAAGTACCATGCAGGAGAAATTTATGATGCTCTATATTACATAAGTCATGAAGTGTCTTACAATCCCATAACAGAACATGAAGCTGAATTACTGGAACTCCATATGAAAAGTTTTAAGTTAGTATGCAGTACTGTCATTTGGTACAGCACATTTGACAAAGCTAACATTGCCTGCAAAGTGCTACAGAAAAATTAAGTAGACTAACCAGCTGCCTTGGAAATCCTGACAAATATTTAACAGTATCTGAAGAAATGTCATTCAGATAATGATTTTGATAGCATTTGATAGATGGTAAAGAAACTGTTTACAGCCTCGACGTTAAGCATATATTTTTTAAAGAAAATTCAATTCTATAATGACAAAATAAAACAGATTGAAATTCAGAATACTGATGAACTGTATTGGGAGTATTTCAATTTCATTTTGGAAGCAATACTTCAACCACTACAGGAGAGGTTCTTACAGGTACAGCAACACAACATACACTCCATATTTCTATAAAACATAAGTAGTTTATGAAACATGTCAAAGGAACACCTTATGAAACAATGTGCTGATTTACAGACCTTACTGACAAACGGACAGGCAAAGGTGATACTGATAGACTACAAATGGTGCGACAAATAGATGCATTCTCTGTTTTGGTAAAAAAAAAAAAGCCTCATAATTAGAAGTACTGCAGTTCATAAGTATGATTTTACATCTATTATCGTTGAGGCAATGAGTATCCTTTTGACATTACCAATGGCAGCAGGATCAGGAGAAACACATTTCTCAAAATTAAAATTAATAAAAGGCTGCCTGAGGTCATCTACATTATAAGAATGATTGTCTGTTCCTGCAGTGAGAGTCACCGAAAACAGATCTATATTGAAGCTGAAATTTTATGATATCCTAGGTGAGTTAGCAAACATTCATTCATTTTATTTGGCATTCATAATTGCTACAACAGTAACACTTGAACAAGCCACATCATTAAATACATCATTCTTGAAATCCTTTTGCCCAAATGATTAGAATATATGTTGACGTCACTTCGTGCTGTACCTTCAAATTTCGACAACCTTTGTAGACATGGTTTAAAAATTAATTTCCTGCCAAGTCACCGATATCATGGTGCCTTAGTGATGAATGAAAAGCTTAATTCTGCATAAATATACATCAGTCAAAAGCACCTGCTTGCAATCTAAGTCCACTGTTCTGTTCATTGTCAAAGCAATGTTTTTTAAATGATGACAGAAATTGCATGTGTACTGCAAATGAAAAATTTGTACAATTTTGAAAGCTCCTAAATTAATAATTTTAGAGTGGTGGGAAAAAAGAGTATAAGTGACAAGGCAAAAAAATAATGCAGTTTGTTACAATAGTGAATCATATAAGCCACACTGTGGATAAAAGCATGTGTCACTTCACTGTCTTTTGTTATTAAGTATGAACTGTGCTCAAGCACTGACTGTGCCATCTTGGGGCACCAGACTCTGTAAGACTCCACTACTGTCATATATTTTACAGGTATGAATGTTGTTTGTACAGACTAAACTAAATCTTAGGGACCTGTACGTTACCTTACGTCCTATGCTCAACTTTGTTTTTTCTGCAGAGAATGCAACTGATGCCCTATCCTGAAAAATGTTTACTGGCTGAAGTTAATGGGAAAAAGGAAAACAGAACTCAAAGGAATGCATACATAGTATTAATACCACAAATTTGCAGAAAATTTAAAAACATTTATTTAATTACGTTTGTATAATGTTCCATGTCATCAAATAGGCAGAACTGACAGAAGGAAACATGATCATTCACTTACCCATGACACAAAAAGGCACTTCATGGAGACAGAATGTTGAATCATGGAATTTCATTCAACAAGAAATAGGACATATTCCACTACATCGTTAATAAATGTAGACCTTCATTCTCCTGGAAAGGCATAAAACATGGCTCCACTATCCATTCTTGTATGTTTCATACACTTTATCAAACATTGATTTACATTCCATTCTTACACCTAGCTTGGCTAATAACAAGAAAACTCCTGAGAGCTTCCGGTGTAGGGAATAGATTTCCTCTGGAGGCGGGCAAAGGCGATGCTTGACCATGGTGGGAACTAGAAGCTGGATGCGACGTGTCATATCTTGGGATCCAAAATCAAATGGTTCAGATGACTTTTGGAACACTTCACCAAGAACCATCACAGCATCGACATGGGCATTTTGCATGATCTGAAAATGTGACAGTTGACTAGCTGTATGACAACAATAACGGTCACACTACTCCAGTCTTCAACATAGTAACAGCAAACTTATTAACCCTAACCCTTTCACGGGCACAATGAAAAAATCTCTGCACGGTTACTGTCCCTCTCATGTTATGTGTCCATAACTGGTGACTGGAATTTAGAAGTTTCCCATGCCTCTCCTATGCCACATATTTGAAAAATAATTTCAGGAGTAGATCACATCTCTTGGCTATATTTTCAAACAAATAATACCTAGTTTTAGTCGATACATTTTATTTCTCCACAGATTGAACAACAATATAGTGTGCAGCTGCAATAATGTAGTAAGCACCATTCATTTCTTTTCCATGTATACCATATGCTTGAAAATTTTTAAGCATTCAGTGAACACAGTACTGTTTTTAAGTTAACTGCATGTTAACCTAAGAGTAGCTAGGAAGGGGATTTGTAAATATGATGTTGAACCCTGCATGGCTTGAATTACAGTGACAGAACAAAATAAGTGTAATAAATAAAAAGAATTCTGGAACCTTATTACAAATTACAGAAGCTCACAAGAACAACAACAATTAATTAAGATTGAAAAATCTGGATTAACCCCTCCCCAAAATTAGATGTAGCAAAAATGTTGTCTTTGAAACTACTATTTGGGTTTACTATATTAGATCACAAAATAAATTCTGCCATTGGAGAGAAACTGAAAACAACAAATATGAGCTAAAAGGATACAAAAATGAAAAATAATAATTTGGAAAGACTCAAAAAAGACCACATCCTGACACGAAGGCAATGGCAAGCTCCTTAGGTGACCAAAATAATAAGAGATCAAGGTACTCTTGGAATTCATAGGAACAGGACTTAATGAAATGTGCGTTTACTGGAAAGTGATTTGTAGTAAATATGAGAATTAAATTTATCATATCACCTTGGACTCATATCCTGTTAGAAACCCAATATCACGAGACATCTGAAGGATTCTGTCTTGGTCACCGTCAGCTGCACCGCGTATTATCTCAATGTACATGTCAGTGAAAGTCTTGCTGTATGGTCGTGAAGCACCAAAATCTAACAATATCAACTGCAATAAAATCAAGACAAACATTTGTAGTTTTATATACAAGAAGTGAAAATATATTTCATTATTTCATTCTTGATCCCATCATAAAGGATTGTTCATTACCATGTTCACAAGAGCCCAACACCAAACCCTTGCTTCAGACTAATCCACTCTACATTGTCTAATTTCCTTCTGTGAGAATGTAGCCTGGATGTAAATGTATCCTAAGTGGTCTCTCTTCATGTTGTTTTTGTTGACAGATCTGGCCTTGGTTGCCCTGTTGATATCCTGAAGAAAGAAGCCATTGCCTAGACAACCCCCATTACCTAAGAAAATGGCTACTCCCTCTAGAACATGACCAATGTCAGGTTCACCAATAAAACCTACAGGAAGAGAGAACACAGCATCCTTCATACCATATATCCAAGGGATTACTGACCACATCTTCAGACTAGTGTGGGAAAAGGCATTCATACAAACCAGAAACTATTCAACAAAATGGCATCCTGATTTAGGTTCACCATGGAGAGACAATCCCTGATTCAGAACCACATTTTTATAGGATCCACTGGTCATCTGGTAAGTCATGCTCCCCTCATTCCAGAGGCAAAATAATGATCTAAAACATGCTTCCAATATCTTCCAAGAGTGGTCTGACCCTAAAAAACTATGCATTTTTAAATGCCCTTCATAATCCTTTGACCTCAAGCTGACTAATTATCTTTTCTAGGAGCTTGAGAGATATGCTGAAGGTCACAAGCCATCCTGCTAGTAAGAACTCTTCAATATTTCATGTGATGATTGGCTGAAGACTCCCTTCAGCATTCTCATGAACATGATTCACTCTATGCCTTGCCAATACCAAACAGTAACTGTCAGTATGTATGTACAAGCTTCGGAATGAAGCGCTAGAATTGTCTGCTAATTTTCTTTAGTTGTTTGAAGTAAACGTTTTTCTGAACTGAAAAACAAAATGGACAAAGACTATGTCATTCTCATATTTTTTTCTGACTATTTATAACAAAAATACAATAAAAAATCAAATGGGTAGAGAATTTAAGTGCTGCTGTATTTGACATACACCCAAAAAATTTCCATCTTCTGGGATATAATGTTCTGTATTCTTATTGACAGTTAACCAGGGTTTTTCAGGAATATGTCACTTTAATCTTCTGTGACGAAGCGAAGCAAGAAGCAGGCAGCGTAGCATGCAAAGCTCTGCTTGCTATCTGCTCCATGCTGATTTACTCCTCAACCCTCAAGATGGAGGTAACATGTTATTCCGAAATATTGGTTGACTTTTAACAGACTACGAGGGGGTACCCAAAAGAAACTGAACTTATTTTTTTTTAAACTTACTTATTCAAATTTTAAGCACAAACATTCAATCCCCTTCAAAGTACTCTCCACTTACACTAATACACTTGTCTAGTCTTTTATTCCATTTTTCAAAACATTGTCTAAATTCATCTTTTGAGATGCTTGACAGCGCCTCCGTCGTTTTTTCCTTCACCTCAGCAACATCAGCAAAACGCTTTCCTTTCATGTCTCTTTTCATT